CGAAAATTACGAAAATTGGTCAGAAGAGAAATTTAGTTACTGTGCACCAAAATCAGTATTAAGAATTACTCAACCGTAAAATTTATGGCGTCACGTAGGGAAAACGCTAAAAAGCCCAAAACACGTGCAATATGATAACGACGAGTTTGTCAACAATTCTTGTTGATTCACTTCAAAAGTTTACCCTGCGTTTCTTTTTCCTTTCAGTATTTTTACAAACTAAATCATCCCTATTTTTATGATAAGTTTGAAAGTTCATTCATAGAAAACCAAATAAGATCTAATTTTCTAAGTAAGCGCCCCTTTTCGTGCCAGTTTTAAAAGTAGAGATCAAAAATTTATTAAGGGTAAAATCAAAGAGATTTACAATAATGGAACTTTTTAAAAAAAAATTCTGACACCAGCTAGAAAATGATCTTTTTAAAGATTAAAATGACAACTGTGTAAATGTATTTAACATATCGACGACGTATTGTCAATTAACAATGGTAATTTCCATACGATATATCCTTTTGAGCTTGAGAAAAAATATAGCACAGAGTTTGACACATCTGTTTCATACTTGGATATTTAACTTGATAAAGACCTTAATGGTATTCTAACAACCAAGCTATATGATAAACGTGATGACTTTGACTTTTCTTTCGTCAAGTTCCCTTACTTATGCAGCAATATACATTCATCGCCTGCATACGGAGTGTATATATCTCAGTTGATTCGATACGCAAGAGCTTGCTCTACGTATAAACAACTTCTAAAACGAGGTAAATTATTGACAAGCAAGTTGATGAAACAAGAACATCAGCCGTCTCGTTTAAAGTCTTCATTTCGTAAGTTCTATATGGCCGATACATGTACAAAGGCCTTGTCAGCAAATACAATTTATCATTGAGTCAAATGCTGACTGACGTTGTTCATACTAATTGTTAGTCCATTTTTTATACACTGAATTGGCAAGGAATTTTTCCGTTATTTCCTGATCATGACAAGGAGCACACGGCGGGTGTGACCGGTCAGCAGGGGATGCTTACTCCTCCATAGCACCTGATCCCACCTCTGATGTTTCGGAGGTCCGTGTTTGCTCTGCTTTTATTTTGTATTATTTTATGGACTTTTAGATTGAATACTGTTCGTTATCTCCATATCCTTCTTTTAATAGGCCAGTTCCATAAAGTGTAAAATGACACCAACATCATCGACATGTTTTTCATCCGGTACAAAAATTTGAAAGTAATGATTTTGTAGCAATTATTGTTTAGTGAGTTTAAAATACAACTTGACATCAAGGTGAGTTATAGTACGCGGCATACCAGGACGGAGTGAAACAATTTTCCACGTGACAACATTCGGTTACATTTGAAGGTATGATGATAGATTTACTATAATGACTATTTTTTGATTTTATAAGTGACAATGACAATCATTAGCTAAAAGATTGATGAATGGCAGGGTTAATCGACCAAAACAATTAGAAATTATGAATGTTTAGAGACCAGGCAAAATTTATCGCAATGATGGGACCGTACAAACAGGCATGGGACAATGAGTTTTTTCATCGAAGAAAACCATGGAACAAAAACATATTTAGCATTAGGTACCCATGGGACACAACTTTTTCAATGACTTCGATGTTTGAAATATCTGTGGTCTGAGAGACTCCTAAGTTTTGTTCCAATTATCTCACTTGATTTACTGCTGTTTAGATGTTATAACAATCATCTCACTAACACCAAGATGTAACCATGGGACAGTATCTTTTCTATGTCTCCAAGCATGGGACAGATATTTTTTTTAAATGTCAAACCATGGGACACGTACTTTTTTTAAGAATGAGGATTTTGATTTGTACTGGTCCCATCATTGTGATAAATTTTGCATGGTCCCTTAGAGAACGGCACATTGTTCTCTAATTAACACTATAATGAAATATTGAAAACTCCATGAACAGCATTGAATCTAATTCAGGTAAAAGATTGTCATCATGCTTACAAAACCTTAATATAATATCATCCCATCATTGGGTGCTCCCATACAATGAATCACTTTATTTATATTGTTACATACACTGATTCAGACCTCTAAGTGTTCACCTATTTTTTTTTAAATCCATACAAAATAATCTCTATGGAGTAAGACCACCACTCTAATTACTGCAAGACATCCTTTACTGTTGGATGCCATGTACACCTGAATAGGAGACTGACCCATCTGTTGACACACCTACTGCATAGATCTTTCCTAACCGTTGATATGGTGTTGAGGGGCTTTGACATTCCTTATAAAAATCCCAAATGTGTTCAATGGGATTCACATCCGGGGATTTGACAGTGCATCATCATACTGAGGCCTTTTGGTCAATATCCTTGGGCGTTTAGCACGTAAGTGCACCGATTTAAGGATGATTCAGACTGTTTGAGATAATATTAGACTGTCACGAGCACCGATTTCTTATCATTTTCATACTATTGAAATTGGATGTTTACATGTTTCTAAGTTTGTTTCAGGGCAATTTAACACTTTTAAACTGGTGTGACTTGAAATTTTGGCCTCAGATGAAGATCAAGGTCACTTCCAGTCTGGTTAAATCTTGTCCAAAGCTTTCAAATTGTGATGAATTTGCGATGAAAATGACGCTCAGCCTATCGAAAAAAGTGTTTAAATGAGTTTTGATACTAGTTGTTAATTTTTGAAAGTAATATCAAGGACAATTTAACAGTGAAATAAATGTTAGTAAAACGGGGTGCAAGATGGTCCATATATCAACATTCCAACAGCTCTCCCTTCTATCTCAATGGTCAGTTTGGCCATGTTTTTTTTTTTTTTTTTTTTTTTTTTAAGCTTCGTCAGGGAACATTGGATTTCATCGGTGATATTTGATTTTCTTTCTACAGTTGTTGTAATAATTTGTTATAATAATTTGAAAATATCATTCCATTCTATGAAGTAGCTTTTAAATAAATACTTTTATTAAAGTGAACACTTAAAAGTTTTGTTAAGTGTATATACATTGGTATAGTTGTTTCCACTATCGAACAAAAAATTTCAAAAGTTATAATTCTGTTATAACGCAAAAATTATCTAAACCAAAGTCTATATAATAACTTCCGTATGCGTCGTTTAATCATAAAACCGTTGTTTACGTATTAATTATTAAAAGTTATAATTTGTTTTTAAACACACGGAAATTTTTCCCCCAGATTATTTTGATATTTCAATAGCTGCAAAATGATTTATTCTATTAAATTCACAGAATTGTTACTTAACATTATATTTGTCCATGGAATTATTGGTATGGATTATGTAATATTAAAAAGTATTCTTTTTTGTTTAAATATTGGAATACTAACGAAAGCGGACTGCAATAACACTTATCAGGATGAAAGCGGAAAGTACCTGTAAGTATTCTTTCTTTGGCAAAACATATCAATAATTGATCAATTGTATATTGTATCACCTCAACTCTCCACTCACAATAATAGACGAACTATTTAATTATTCGAATTTTATGCGTTAAATGACCATGTCAATGTTAATAAATACCTTTTAAGTTAATTATTGCATTTTTTCAGGTTAAGCTGTTGTACAAACTACTATATATATAATAGAGAATGCAGAGGTATGTTAATTAAAATACGATCACATGATTTTTCAAGTCTGTTGCATGTCATTATTCAATTGAGAACACATGTAAAATGTGCAGATTGAGAGTTTGATTTTTCAGAGTGTCCACCAGGATTTTTTGGAGAAAGGTGCGCTCAGCAGTGTTACTATCCTTACTATGGTCGACTTTGTCAGTACACGTGTCAGTGTGATACTATCACGTGTGACCGTGTTATGGGATGTACCAACAACAAATCTATGGATACTTTTACAGGTTTTTAACTCATTCAATGTGTCCTTTTGAAATCGTGAAATGTTTTCTTCCATGTTATTTATTTCACGTATATATGTGTTATTTTTTTTCAGACAGTCTTCCAAATGAAATTTCAACTACACAATTAACAAATAAAACAGTTACAACGAACAAAGTAATTACTACAATGGTGGACATTCATAGAGTTAAAAAACAACATTCAACGACACAGCTGAAAAAAACAGTTTTATCTGTTGGAAGTTTTCTGGTATCAATGATAGTTATTTGTGCTATCATATGGGTGTCAATGTCATTATGTAAAAAGCGGACAGTAAAAATAGTTAACGAGGACAACGATGTAGCGTCAGTCTACATGGAAATTGATGTTGGTTCGAACCACATAGACTCTCGGGTTCAAATACTTAACAGAACTGTATTAGATGAGTCCTGTACAACGCTTAACGAGACAACAGAAGACAGACCTGAACTCCCAGCAAGAATGGCCTTCGTCTTATCTTCAGGTGATGATGCATTTACTTCGTGTTCAAATACAGACGAAATCTTACGTACAGACAATGAAAATGTATCAGTTGTGTAAAGTATGGAAGAACAACTTTGCCATTTCACCTTTAAGGTTTATTACAGGCATTAACATAGTCAAACGATTTATGTAAGTTAGGCATAAAAAAAATACAAAACAAGATACAGATACATTTCAATTTACACGTATCAGGTAATGGCATATAAACAATGAATGAATAGTGTTCATTGAAGAGCAATAAGGGATAATATATATTGCCTAGAAATGTCTATAAACTATAATTTTCCTGTTTTCTGTACTTTGTACAGGAAATGATAAATGAAATATATTTATTGTGTAAACTCGCCTATTTATTCGCGTTAAAAAGGCAATGTTATAAAACTTTTAGGTATAAGTATACTTTTAAATCACACTTTAATTTTGGTCATTTCGAATATTTTCCGAAACTGAAATTATCAACGTAAATAAACATACATGTATTAAACATATAAACATTTTGATCAATTTTCATGGAATGTATTTGTATAGCATTTTGTAAATCAAACTAAAAATTATGACTGTTGTCAAATCTGTAATTGTTTCCAAAGAGCAACAATACTGTTAATGTTTTAGTTGTTTGACATTTTTATTGATATGTCATTAAAATTAAAATAACAGGCATTCTACATATTGGCATTCATATCTTACAAATCAAGATAGATAACCAAAATACGAAGGTGAGGAAGGAAAATATTCAACAACAGCAAAACAAACAAAAACAATATTTCACCAAAAAATAAAATACTCTGCTTCTTCAATTGATACATAATTACTTTTTGATTGCACTATAATACTTAACGTTTGATTTTTTTGTAATTAACATGTACTTGAACTCTGGTTTTCCCCCTTCTTCCTGAATTTAATTAGAGAAAAGAGCAAATTTTTATAAAAATTATTACCAATTTTTTTTGTAAGAAATTAATGTGAATCAATTCAGAAATTTACATCAACAGGCAAAATTATTTCACAAACTCTATAAATTTCTCTAAATATAAGAAAAAAGATGTTTCTATAGAGTCTAACAGTAAGTTTTTCTTTCTAAAAAGTTTTTAATAGGAATTTCCCAACAAACACAACAAAGGAGCTTATAACAAAGACAGCAAACTGGTAATTACGACACTAACATCGATATACATGCATATTTTGTTGATCGAATTAAGTCATCTTTTGAACGTAAGCACGAATTTAAATACATATTTTTAAAGCACTGTAGCAAACAATAACATTTTATATCAGTTATTATAGAGGTATGGCATACATTTTACTGGACCTCAAACAACTCATTTCTCAAGACTTAAAGTTAAGAAATTCCAATGAAATAAAAAGGTTATTAATGATTGGTAATCAAGCTCAGAATCATTTTAAATCAATAGATATTGGATGAAATGCAAACAAGACCTCCAAAACCATAAGAACTGGGATCAGGTGCTATGGAGGAGTGAGCATCCCTTACCGATCGGTCAAACATGCCGTGTGCTTTTCATGACCAGGAATGAAAAGGAAAATTTTGTACACAATTCAGTTTGTAAACAAAGGCCTAGCAATAAGTAAAATCAAACAGCATGTGACTAATTGATAGATGATAGTTGCTAAAAAGATTATTTTGTTGACCATAACCTTTGCGAAATAAGGACTTCAGACATGACTCTTGATAGTCTTGTTTCATTCGATTGTTCTCAATAACTTACCTTGTTTTAAACATTGTTTGTACATAGAGCACTGTTTTGCATATTTTTAAAAGTAACTGATAGACATAAACTCCTATCCAGGGGATTATGGTACATGTATATCGCTACATAATAAAGAAAATTGACCATCTGTTAATTAGCAACAGAATTTTATAAATACATGTATCATGAATTAAATTCTGTCAAAGATTATGAAAGACAAAGGCTTGACTATTGAGGACAAAACATTAATATGTAGCAAGAATGGATAAAAAATACAAGTGTATTGTTAAAATCTAGAATCAAATTATTTAAGAGCAAAGGACAACCACCAATCCTTCTGTAGTAAATGATTTTCAAGTGATTACAGAATGAAATATATGGAGATAATGAACAGTATTCAGGCCTGATTGTCCATTCAAAAATTACAAATCAGGAGCAGAGCAAACATGGACCTTTGAGACACTAGAGGTTGGGATGGATTTGATAAATAAATAAACATTATATATTGGATTGATACCTAGATTACTTCCTGATACTGAGCTTGTAGACTATGACACAGCACAGGTTTGTCCTGATTGGTTAGTGCTATCATTGTCCGAGTCCGATTCTGAACTCGAGTCTGAAGACATCAATATTTGAATATCAAGGTCTTCTTTCCTCCGTAACCAATCAGAAAACTGCCTTGGTAATGTGTCCCACTCACTTCCTAGACTAGTGCGATGTTTGTAAACAAAGTCCAAGCAAATTCTACAAAAAAAATCATACAGTGAAAAAATTCAATTTGAGGGAATAAGAAAATATCATTTGAAATTTGAACAGTTAAAAAGATAAAGGTCATTTTTGTTTGTCTACCTTTTAAGAGTGTGAGGATAGAGCTGGAAATATAGAATATCATTCCTGTGGTCCTAAATAAATATATATGGCCATTTAAATTTTATATATTCAGCTCAACACTTGGAAAGAATGAAATTTCAAACATGTCACCCCCCATTTCTCCAAACTGGAGAAATAAAAAAATGAGAAAAAAATTGGTCTATTCAGTTCAGGACAATTTGCCATTAAAATACACTTTCAGATTTAACTGAATAATACTCTTGTCTTAATTTCTTAGATAATACTCATTTTACAAGTGTGTAAATTAATTTTTCTTAAAATGTAATTTAGAGAATTTTTAATGAATTCAATTACTGATGTGCTTTATTTATTCTTAATCAACTACAGGTGACTCTCGATCTCTCGAAGTTCAAGGGACCGCAAGAAAAGTTCGAGAGATCGAAGGGTTCGAGAGATGGAAAGTTAATAAAATCCGGAATTTTCCGTTCCGATCATCGATGTTCTTCTATTGTAAATACCGGAAGTATATGTAAATAAAGTTATTGCACGTTTTCAATCGTATTTTACAGGTAATATACTTGATTTCAACAACAATGATCGTGTTTTGAATAAATAAACGAATTCCTGTTTCAATAGTTATTTGTTCTTATTTCATAATAATTTGAAACCCGAATACAAGCAATTGTCGGATTGGCTATTCCGCGGCTTGATTGGGTCATTCACTGTGTTCACCATATTTTTCTTAATCGGCATTCAGTCCTTGACAAAGGAATTTCTTGTGCAATATTTGCCATACTGGGATTATGTAGACTCTAATAAAAGTACATAATCTTTGGGAACTTATTGAAACGAACGTCTATAAATTTATTTTCAAAATTTTATCATCTCGGTTACAGGTCAAAATAAATTATGATTTCGTTTATAATTTACCAATAATAACCAATTAATTATATAAATTCACGGACGACCCACAGGTGTAGTGTCATCTATGTAAACACCCAATTAACACCTCCATGCCAGCCCCAGGCGATAACTGTTTTTCCAGGTAAGTCCAGGCGCAATTTCACGCTTGATCGGCGTGTATACACGCGCTATCAAAACTTCGAGAGATAGAGGGTCAAATTCAATGTAATACGTGTAACGGAACCCAGGTATTGGTTCGAGAGATAGAGAACTTCGAGAGATAGAAGTTCGAGAGATCAGGAGTAAATTTGCTTAGTTATATAGAGGAAAAAAACGGGACCGGAGGTTCACTTCGAGAGATCGAGAACTTCGAGAGATCGGAGTTCGAGCCATCGAGAGTCACCTGTACTCTAATCTGTTTTAAAAATTGCCCTTTAACTTTCTATATTAAACTTGAGACAAGTACCACTTGACTCTCTTCTCCATCTTCTAGTATATTATTTCCACATCCTCCAAAGACAATGACTTCCTTGTCCTGTGTGACACATGCAGTGTGCCAAAGTCGGGGCTGTGTGGTTGGAAACTGAGAAAGATGTGTCCATTGTAGTGATATTATATCTAGAATCCAAGCATCGCCTATCAAAATAGTTTTCATAAACAAATAGCTACAGCAATACCAATCATGTCTCAGATCTTGTATTTTATTTTAAATTGTTCATAATTCATTCAGTGCATCAACGTTTTATGCTCTGTAATTATTTTTTTTTCAAAACCTCTCTTTTCTGTGTTCTTATATTTTTCCGAACCAATAAACTTAATTCATCTTAGATAACAAACTAAATAGTTAGTAGATAAGTCAGTGACACAATTTAGTCTTGTTCTCCACTTTTGCTGTAACATTTTTTAACCTTAGGAATATACATACTGAGAGGTATACAATTTGTGTTGAACCCTCCATATACAAACATGTGAGTACTAGACAGTGCATTGGCAGAATGCCAAGATCTCCCCTCAGGCTCTTCACTCCTAACAGACAGACTGAAACATAGTGAAATATTCACATCTAATGAATATGTTCTATATTTTTTATCAATATTTCACCAATTAAGTTGTTATCTTACATAGAATAAATTTTACCATGGACTATTAGTGCTACTGCACTGCACATACAGACCTTGAACAAATTAAGTGGGATTATGATGTGCATGCATCCCTTTTCATTATTTGATAATACTGCAGTAAATATTTTTTTTTGTACCTTAAGCATGACATAATCACGATAATCACTCAATAGTAACAGTACAATGTGGGATCTTTAATTATCATTTTTCATTAACACTGCATGATTACTAGAGTATTTCACTTTGTTCATTATAATTGATTGGAATATACAGTGATTTTCAAATAGTAGGTCTATTGAAGCTGAAGTGAAGTCTCTGAAAAATTTTAGGTAAGGCCAAAATTAAATTAATTAATAGTTTCTCAGGCCAAAAAATTCAAAATTCAATGCGACAGGCTCCAATATGATTTTTTTTTTTTTTTTTTTTTTTTTGTAAGTCATTTGTGCAGTAAAATGATAATATCTACTTATTCTTAAGTTTTGTTCTGTGAAATTTGTTATAATATGTATTCAACATTAAATAATATTATTCCAAACATTTATTTAAAAGCAAACTGATAAAATACTTTAGATTTAGAAGAAATATATTGTTTTTCTAATAAAAACGTCTTTCTTAGCATTTATGAAAAGGGGAATAAATCGATTTTCTTTTTCAACTTGGAAAAATAGAAAATTGAGTTATCTTTTCAATATTCAATAAAATTGATCAATGCGGCCGTTTTTGAACTGATGCCGCGGTGCCTGAGAAACTATTGATTAATTTTTTTTGGCCTAATAGTCCAACTGGTCTAGTTTCCTTTTATCTTAAAGTTGATCCCTGCTTCATGAGTTATTTCTTGGGCACCAGACTTTTTCATCAATATAACATATAGATCAACCATACATTATTTCAACCATACAATATTTTAATACCAGCTTATCCAGATAATGTATTCTTTGAAATGTCACAAATGTCAATCTTTGTATAAAGGAACAAAAAAAAGCATTTAACATTTTTTTAAAAAAATGGTTTTGTGCACAAAAAAGTTAAGAAAGTGCTTGCAATTTAACAATTTGCTTCTAAATGGGATAACCATTTATTACAAACACCCTTCTAATAAACATCTTATCATTCTTATAGAGATAAAAAGGATTATTCACTGCTGACTCAGGTTGCTGCTGAAATCCATACAATATAAATCATAAAGCTGTATGGATTACATGTATATTACCAGCCACAGTGAATTCAGATCCAAACAATGTAAATCATATATACATTACCTTACTAACCACTCTATTTGTTGTATTCAGATCCGGACAGTGTAAATTACAGGTACATGTACACACACACACACACACACACACACACCCTCACACACACAAACACACACACACACACACACACCCACACACACACACACACACACACACACACACACACACACACACACACACACACATATATATATATATATATATATATATATATATATATATATATATATATATATATATATATATATATGTATAAAACTTATCTTACCAGCCATTCTGAACTGTGTTAAATATTATTCTTTATATAAATGTTCCAAAATAATCTCATCAGTCACTTTAGATTGCAGTATCGAATCCAAGTAGTGTAAGTTGTATTTCAAATTTCAACATGTATATAAATTATTTTACCAGCCATTGCAGGTTGTAGTATCCAGATCTTAACAGTGTTAATCATATTATAAATGTACACAGATAATCTACTAGCCACTTCAGGCTGCTGTTCCAGATCCTGATAGTGTCAAATTCTTATATCAAAATGTACTCTAAGTATAAAGATTATTTTACGGATCGCTTCATTTTACTGTTCATGGGCCAAATCCAAAATGTGTACATATAAAATCATATATGAACAGAAAATATCTTACTAGCAACTGTAGGTTGTTTTATCAGATCCAGATGATGTAAATCATATTCATTGATATGTTTGTTATACTTCGATCATTATGATTATTCTACACAACACATCATCTTATTGGCTCAAGATTATCACATAATTGGGCCATTAAACTTCATATTTCACAGTCTTTGGCATATTTTTCATATATTCCACTTCTTAGATACCTACTGCATTTTCCCGCAAAAGTTATCGTTTGTTGAAAGATAACTCCCACGAGTAGTAGACTGGTTAGCTGATTAGAGATAAGTCAAATGGTTTCAGTAGCTTTACGCTAATTCATTACGTGAATGTTCGGGAAACATGAAGATTTTATCAGCCAAGAAATATCATATTCCCTGAGGGCTTCAATATGATTTCTCTTGGCTGAATAAATCTTCTTATTATATAGATGATAAATAATGTATAATAAAAAAAACTACTAAATATCCAGATAATTTTAGCGTTTTTAAAATATCTTAGTGTTTTATTGAATGCTTACTTTGTATTACATAAATGAGTATGCCTGAAACATTTCGAATAAGAGAGTTTAATATCCAACGGCCCTTTGTATACAATAACTGTCGTTTGGTCATCATCTTGGAGGCAGATTTATGATAGATAGTGGATTCAAGGTAGGAAGTGTTTATTTTTATGTAAAATTAAAATTATTAATTCATAATTTAGTACGTATTAGCCTGAATAATACCTCTGAATATGCAGATCATAAAGCTAGGTAAGCTAAGTCATTGAAATTATGCAATATTGAACACTTGCAGGACAGACGTTAATTTAAATAACTATACTGAAAATTCTTATTAATTTAGTAGTTTTATGGTTCAAACTATTCATATAAATTGATGGGAGATGTTTTATATGTAGCTATATAAAGGATTTATTAAACTAATATTGGTTAAGATTGGCACGAGTTGGCTGCACAAATGCACTTGCAAGGTCATGGATTTGTACATCCAACTCGTGCCATTATTCACCAATATAAGTTCAAGAACCTTATAATATTTCCTGAATATTCATACAATAAATCTACAATATAGTATAGAGATAATCTTACCTGCCCACTCTAGGTTGCTGTATCAGATCTATATGGTGTAAATCACCCTCATATAAATGTATATAGTAGATAGATTATCTTACCTGCCACTCCAGGTGGCTGTATCCAGATCCAGACAGTGTAAGTCATTCAGTCGCAGATTCCGGTGTCTCCCACCAAATATAAATACCTTACTCCCAAACCTTACAGCAGAAGAGGCTGCCCTTGCAGAGGGCTTTTGTCCCTGTCATAAAAAAATTAACATTTTTCCTAATCAACTCAATAAAGAAATATGTTCATTTCAAACTAATCTTAAGTAATTAAATATTAATATTATATGTCATTAATATATTATTACATGTACCCTTTTTGATAGAGAAAAAGCACATACTGGGAAAAGAATAAGATACATATTAAATACCTTGCACTCAGCTAGACTCCATTCCTTTGTGTTAAAGTCAAAAATGCACAACTGATTGTTCCAACCTCTCTAAAAAAGGGAGATCTTAATTTCATATGAAATATGAATTATTTTCTCAAATCCTTGAACATTTATTTGTAATAGCATACATAGTATTTATCATCAAATTCAGATATTAAAGACTAGTTCTATACAATAAGGCAATTCTTTTTTTTTTTTACTCTGTTTTTTTTTTTTTTTGAAGATAAAATTTTTACGTATCTATTTAAACAAAATACACTTACGATCATTTAAAAGTTTATATTGAATTGGTTGCAATAATTTTAGACATAAATATACAGTTAAATTACACATACATGTTCTGATGTTTCATCTTGAAAAAACGACCTGCTTTCTTCCAAATACATATTGTCTCTGGTGTAATCGATTATTCCATATCCTCCAAATGTATAAAACCTAAAAAAAAAATGAATGAGAATTAAAATTGAAGTGAAAATGAACCAAATTAATCATATAAAACTATTGTTTTAAAACAGAATGACCATGCAAATGCTACATTCATGATTAACATATACATAAAGTAGAAATGTAGAATATAATAATTATTTTAATAATTCTGAAATCAAATCAAATTAAACCTAAAATGATTTGAAAAAAATGTCAATTTAAACCTAAAATGATTTGAAAAATGTCTTCATAGAAAATACTTTTTCTATTTAAAGACTTCTTCAATTTATTCATTCTGAATAATTCATTCTGTAAATGTCTAGCATTTTGATGATTGAATGGAATCAGGACAGAGAAATCAAAGTCATTTTAATACCGAATAATTAACTTAAATTTTTTTTTTTACCTAATTTAATGATCCTAAAAAAATCCATGGATCCATAGTATACATAATGTACAAACTTACTTTTTCTCATAGAACCATGACACGGCTTTGTCCCGTGGGCTTGGTGTGGGACTTGTGGCAATAGGGAATATACCTTCCCACTGTAAAGTATTTAGGTCAAGTTTATATAGAGTATTCAGGTAACCATGGCTTGCATGTCCTCCAAAAACATACATGGAATCCTCCTGAGCACATGCAGAACATCCTGAGGCAGCTATAGGATGAACATCTTTACTTTTGTTTGAAAACCTATTTAAAAGAATATGTTTAAAATGTCATTATCATTCAGCATATTATGCATATGTATAAATTTGTGTTGAATATTAATTCTGAAAAGTTATAAAAGATTTATCATAGAAACAGAATTGGGCTAGGCCTATATATATATAACTCATCTATATAGACCATAAAAAAAAGAAAATCATACCAAACTTGAAATTCTGTATCATAGATCCACAGTTCATTCGGTGGAAGATAAGCTAGATGATACGGATCAAAATCATCCTACAAAACACAATTTAATATGCACTGTGAAACAACCTTTAGAGTTAGATCTGTGTGAAGTAATTACAGAATTTATCCTGAATACACACATGGGTCCTACACACATAAAGAAAGACAACTTCAAGTATTATGGTTTATGTACAGATTTTATCAGTTAATTATATTTGTTGCCAAGTAGTCTGTAATATCTTACATTTTCCAGGCTTTCAATGATTTAAAAATGTTTTCTTGACACTTCACATATCAAAATTCTACAAAAAGCCTAGAAAACATCAGATTTTTTGGACTTTTTGCATAATAATTGATGCTTGGTTTTAGAATAGTGCGTACTTTGTGTATTACCTTTACATATATACAGTATTAATATGATATTTTTAAAGAGTGCTTATTTCAGTAATTTTAATTTTTTTTTTATTTTAACAAAAGAACTACCCTGATGATCCTGAAACCAAGCGCCTATCTCGGCTATCTGCCTATGCTCATCATCATACAGATACACTTTGGTTACTGAGATTACTGACAAGTGAGGTTAAAAGCTGGTAGTAACAGTGATATCACCTGGCTTCCTTAATTTCACTTACGTTATATCCTCCCCATACTATCATGTATTTATCTGCTAAAACTGACACATGTCCAGTTAGAACAGTTACTCCTTGAATGAAATGTACAGCTCTTTTCTTAACCGATAATAGGTCAGTAATCATTCAGCACAATGTGAAGTAATCAACTCAGCCATGCCTGTCCTCCATGAGAGAGATTGTCAACAATCCGGAATATTGAGCCCGATGCTATTTACATTTCTGTTATCCATTCTTACCGGGTGGACCCCCCCTTTGGAAAAAATTTCTGGATCCGCGCCTGTATTGCGTTTGTAATAATAAGAATACATACATTAATAGTATTTTTAAAATACACGATAATTATACAATCTAACTAAAAGCCCAGACTTCTTAGTTTCGCGCCTAAATCATTCCATTTCGCTTTAATAGCTCCAGTCCCAAAAAAAATTTTTCAACCCAGAAATTTCTTGACAAGTAGAAAAAAAAAAAACGTAAACGCGGGGGGGGGGAAGGAACTATCATAAAACTTTTTGTTTAAACCACATACCACTTTCATATTTTTTTTTTCAAATTCGTGAAATTGCAAATCCATTGAATTTAAAAGGCTTCATTAGTTTTTGAAATGAGGGGCTGCGTTTTCCGAGGGGGGTATATTGTTTTTAACCTTTTTTCTGTTTGTTTGTTTGTTTGCTTTTGTGCAAAAATATTATATATATAAACTCATAATAACCTTATTAAGCTCTTTCAAATGACACCAAGGTCAATGGCCTTCTGACCTTGATTGTGACCTATATGCTAAAAATAGCTTTTCATCTGCAAACTTTAACCTTCGCCATAACTTTTGAACCATGAGAGATAGGGACTTCATATTTGGTTTGCATACTCCACGTATTAAACCCTTTCAAATGACATCAAGATCAATTACCTTGTGACCTTTAAAGTTCTATATCTAAAAATTACTTTATACAATGAATGAAGGTGCAACAATTATTCAAACTTTCGATGCTAATACTTAAAGCACAAATATTAAATATTTAAATAGCGTTTTTATCAATGACCTTGACTGTGGTAAAAAATAGCTATTTTGAAAGATTTCTTGCCGTCTCGCATAGTGTTTCACAAACACATGTTTTCAACGCCGTGGCACTAGGTCTCACGTGTATTTTACAAAACTATTAATGTAGAAATTACAAACGCAATATAAAGTTTCTGCTATACAGTGAATCAGGTGTAACACCAAACCGAGCGGTACTTAAAGCACAAATTAATATTAAATATTTAAATAGCGTTTTTAGTAATACAACTTCAAGTTGATAGCTGAGTGACATTGTTGAAGAGACTCCGGCGCCTTTGATTAAATAACTGTAACATGACTGGCAAAGGGAAGGAAAATCCAACAGAAAAACTCTGGCCCTCCGTCATTGCATGGTTAATCACCAAACCTCGGCTGATTCCGTCGCCTTCATCAAAGATGAGGTACGAATAGGCCGAGGTGAGCAGAATGAGTAAATCCTCATGATTGGAAACCCACAACTTTTTTGGCCAACATTACCTTTACTATAGGAAATGTACACTGAAAGGAAGGTTGCCCCCCCCCCCCCCCACTTTTTACCACAGTATAGTGGTAACACTGAACACACAGTGGGAGGTTAGTTTTCTAACTAATTTGGCTTTGAAAAAAAATGACATTTAACTTTACCTTTTTTTTTTTTTTGCTTGTGTAAAAAAATGGCATGCCTAGGACAAAATGACACAGGTGGATCAGGATGAAAGGTATTTGGAAGTCCACGTAAAGGCCAAAGTCCCTATGCACACCCATAAACAACATTTATCAGAGGCGTCGGAAGCAAATTGAAAGTGGGGTGGCTGATTGAAAGTGAGGGGCTACATCAATGAAAAAAGGGAAGCTCAAATTTTCAATGCGTAACTATATAATGTCAATCTTTGAAAAAAAAGTGCCGGTTCCGACGGCTATGTAAGCGAAATGAAAGCAGATATCGAGTATTTGATATGTGCGAACTCAACACCTTTGTCATTACAGGAACAATATATTTCCCCCCAAACCAGGACACAAAATCTCCTTGATCTCAACCGATTTAAAGACGGAAAACCAAATTTATCAAGTGCTTATATCGAAACAGCACAGAACATCTTAGATATAACGGCGATGAGAGGAGCCGATGCAAGCAGTGGTCATGAACTGATAAGATGTAAGATCAGAATGAAATTGAAGATACAAAAAGAAAATGCAGATATTCGCAGAAAGAAGTATGATGTTACAAAACTTCAACAGCCCGAGAAAGGGAGAGCATTCACATTGGAGCTGAAAAATAGATTCCAAGTGCTAGAAGGATTGGAAAGTGTTGATTGATTGATTGATTGATTGAGTGATTGTATGTTGTTTTACGTCCCATTCATGTAGAGACGTCACCATATACCAGTGAAGGACTTCAAAATTTTACCTTTACTCGGCACTCAGGGCCATTGAGCAGTGAAGGATCTTTATCCTACCAACGCCTGCTGTGTCAAGGGACCTCGGTTTTTCGGGTCTCAGCCGAAGGACCCGCAACTTTTACTTCAAGTGCCCTGCGCAAAGCGAAGGAACAGTTACTACCCATTTTCTAATGACTTAGGTCAGTCGCGGCCGAGATTCGAACTCACAACCTCCTGATCATGGAGCCAGCACTCTACCGACTGAGACAACGTGAACGGTGGAAAGTGTTGAACACATTTGGGAAAATATGGTAAAAGGTTACAACAGGACAGCAGACAGAATCCTTAGTGTAAAAGAAAAGGGACAAAAACCTTGAATAAGCAGGGACTCTGGGAAGGTGGTAGAAGAAAGGATCTCCAGCAGCTAAAACGTCATTTTGCCAATCATATAGGTAAAAAGATGCTTAAGGAATAAATATAATATTCAATTAAAGAAAGAGAGGTGAAATGCACTATGAGGAATGACAGGAGAAAGTGGACAGAAGTCATTAATACAAAAGCAGATAGAGCAGCAAGTAATTGGCACGTGAAAACGTGTATAAAATAACTAGAGTGCTTATAAATAATGAGAAGAAAGGCATGACAACGGCAATAAAGGATAAAGAGGGCAAGATCCTGAGCAGTCAGGATGGAAGATAGAAAAGGTGTAAAGAACGCTTTCAAGAAATATTAAACCGCCCACAACCCGAGCATTCATTAGAAGTTGAAAGCAAAGAACAAGTATTAGACTATTAACAAGTATTAGATGAGATGGATACATGTCCCATACAGAAAGATGAAATTGTCAAAGCTACAAAGAAACAAAAGAATGGAAAAGCTGGAGGAGTACATTGGATAACAGCTGAAATATTAAAAGCAGACGCAAAGACAACAAACAGATACTTGGAAAAACTATTTTCAACAATCTGGAAACAAGAAACTATACCATCGGTATTTTGTTTGGAGTAAAGGCCTGAAAAGATTGCAAAGAAATTTAAGGCGATAGATCGATATGTGACAATTCTAGAGGAATAACACTTCTGTCTTTGCCAAGAAAAGTATTTCTTCAGAACAGTGATACAAATAATCCACATTGGAGTGGAAAAACAGCTGCGTGGTGAACAAGCTTTCTTCAGAAGAAGGAGGAGTTAAACAGAACAACAATTTACACTCCGTAACGTCGATAGAACTATACATCGAATAGAACTCAACATTGTTTGTAAATTTGTTGACTTTGAAAAGGCATTTCATTCCATTCATAGAGAGAGTCTTTGGTCTATCATGAAGTCTTAACGCACGGTGACACCCAGACAAACTGATCAGAATGGTGAAACCCCTAACCCCTAGTCAATATGAATCATTCCAATGTGCAGTCCTAGAAGATGGAGAACAAACAGACTGGTTCCAGGTAACAACAGGAGTGAAGCAGGGTTGCACAATGTCTGGATATTTCTGTTGATTATAGATCAGGTAATTAAAAGAACTACAGAACCAACAGGAACAATGTTGAATTTCACAACAAATCTTGAAGATCTAGGCTTTGCATATATAATCTTGCTACACTTTCCTCAAAATTTCAAGACCCCGAGCAAAAGACTTAATAAATTTGCTAGACAAACTGGACCAAGAATAAATATCGAGAAAACCAAAGTGATTAAGCTCAACACTGACATAAAAGAGGCAGTCAAGATTGATGGACAAGATCTAGAGGATGTAGAGACATTTACTCACCTTGGAGGTGTGAGTAACGAACAGACTGGGTAAAGCTGTCTCAATGTAGAAGCTCAGTAAAATCTGGAGCTTATTAAAATTTTCCATCCAAACAAAAGTAAAGTTATTTAACAGCTTGGTCCTGTCGGTTCTAATGTATGGAAGTGAAACATGGAAAAGAACGGAGAGAAAATTGACATCCTCCAGAATAGATGCCTTAGAAAGATCCTGAGAGTAAGATGGACTGAGAAAATGTCAAATGTACCACCGCATTGACATGGCATCCAGAAGGAAAGTGGGCACCGGCCCATAACAAACTTGGAGGAGGACCACGGAACAAGAGAGACTATAACTGGGATGGAATGGCTGGGCGTCAGCGAGAGCCGCAGCCAAAGACAGGGGCAAATGAAGGCAGTGTATTGGGGCCTTATGTGCCAGTGGGCACGAAGAGGATAGGTGAGTTGACGTTTTTACTGTGCATCAAGATCTACCACAGATTCAAATAAAGCCCTGAATTCAAAATCCAAGTTAATCGGATAGCGCGAATTTTTCTAGATTACATCAATTTTAATGGTTTATTATTGCCCAAGTAGATGAAACAAGAATATCAGCATTGTTTAAAGTCATCAATTCTATGGTCGATACCATGAACTGGTCAGTAAAATGCGGGGCGTATATTCATGGCACGCCAAATTCACAAAAATGAGCTAAACATAGTTTCACAGTCGATAAACTAGGTTTATCGATTGTAAACTATAGTTTACGGACTGTAAACTATAGTTAACAACGTTAATCTATATTTTACATCCGTAAACCATAGTTAACGCGATAATCTATGTTTCACAACCGTAAACTGTACTTAACACGGAAAACAATCATTTGCGATTGCAAAACATAGATTATCTGATAAATACAGTTTCACAATTTGTAAACTATAGTTTACAAACCGTTAACTTTAGTTAACGATCTGATAAATATAATTTCATGATTTGTGAAACTATGATTAACAACTCTTAACTATAGTTTACGATTGTAAACTATAGTTTACAAACGTGAATCTATGTTTATCAACAAAATCTATTGTTAACGCTTATTACAGACAGAAAAACTTAGATTATCATTCGTAAACTATAGTTAACAACCGTTAAATATAGTTTTACAGATGAAAACTATACTTAACGAATCGTTAACTATACTTAACGAATCGTTAACTATAGTTTACGGTTTGTAAACTATAGTTTACAGTCGATAAACCTAGTTTATCGACTGTGAAACTAAGTTTATTTTATTTTTGTGAATTTGGCGTGCCATATATATTGTTTAGTCAGTCTGTTGTCAACTTTAACCTTTGCCATAAATTTTAAACCGTGAGAGATAAAGACTTTATACTTGCTAAGCATACTCCGCTTATTAAGCTAAATGACACCAAGGTCAATGACTTTTTGGCCTTGACTGGGACCTATATGCTAAAAAGCTTTTTGAACTTCGCCGTAACTTTTGAATCATAAGAGATATAAACTTCATATTTAGTATGCATACTCCACTAATTAAGTTCTTTCAAATGACATCAAGGTCAATGACCTTGTGACCTTGACTGTGACCAATATGCTTAAAAAAAGCTTTTTCGAACTTTGTTGCCGCCGGGCGCATAGTTTATATAAATTTTTCTTAATTTTTAGGCCATTATTTACACGCTGAATTGTCTACGGATTTTATCGTAGAGTCCAAATCACGACAAACTACACACAGCGGAAGTGATAGATTGGCAGGGATGGCATCTCATCCCACCTTTGATGTTTTAAGAGGTCCGTAATATTTTGCTCTGCTCCTCACTCAGATAAAACATTTGTTATCTTCCTCTGTATATATTTCTTTTGACCCCAGAGGTATTGCGACCATGAAATTCACAGTTTTCCTTTCCTTTCCATTCCTTCGAAGATGCGAAATAGCTACGGCAGTTTTGGAGAAAAAAATGGAAATTATTTTTTACTCAAGTTTATAACACATGCAAATAAATTAAAAATGGTCGAAAATAACATATGATCATTATTAGGTAATCAAGATGTGACTCGGGTGACCAAAGACATATTTAAAAGCTTATGCTTCAGTCATACCGGTATAGAAAATCTTGCTGTGACTTTCGTTTCAATATTAGGATATATCGACAACGTTTTATGAGAACAATATTATTCATTTTCATTCCTGCTTGATTTGATATACCCCTTTAAACTCAAAATAAAAGACACCAGAGATAGAGTCTGACACTGACACATTTGCTTAACATTTTTATATTTTGCTAGAAAAACACGTCACTGGTAATCTAAAATAAAACTTTGATAAGCATAAAGACAATGATAATCATGTTATCTTTCTATCGTATACTTCCTTACTTACTATGTAGCATTATTCCATTATAATCTTCGTATATAGAGTTTGTTTTCTAGTTTATTCGACACGTAAACACATGCTCCACCTAAAAATATTTCTAAAATAAGGCAATGATGTTTTCCAGACTTTTTAAAAGGATTTTGGCAAACACGTCGATGAAACAAGGAGATCAACCGTTTTGTTTACTGATAACGTCAATTAACATGATGAGAATTCTATGGTTGGTAAATTGACATTGTTTGTAAATAAAACTTCTTTCCTGTCGGTGAAATGGCACAAAAAAGCGTGGAGAGAAACAGAAAAATAGCAACCAGGTTTTCTCATATTTCTCTTACAATGTATATTTAAAAAAATTATGTTTAGTTCAATTATATATAGGAATTAAAATTTACGCATAAATTTATTTTTTTATGAGAGAAAATTCATCATGCATTTGCTGACAATTTTTTACTTTATTTCTACATCATAAAAGAAGTATCTGACAAATAATTTTTAATGTAATATATACAGAAATCATTGGATAGAGCAATTCCCACAACTATGCACATTTATTTCCTTTCAATAGGGTATTCAAGGAACCAAATCTTTTGGAACACAATTGCCCTCGGGAAGCCAGAAACATTTTTGTTTGGTATCACACGTTGCCTTTTCTTTGGCTCTGAGACAATCAGCGAGTTCGAAGGCCAGAGTACGTCTTTTTATATAGTAATTCCTATTCACTGCCACGTTTATTTTCGAGTCACACTTTGCATCAAACCCAGCAGCACACTTGGCGTCACATTTAGCGTCAAACCCAGCAGCACACTTGGCGTCACATTTAGCGTCAAACCCAGCGGCACACTTGGCGTCGATCCATTTCCTTATTGAGCTTTGTACAGAGTAACAGTTTGGGGAGTATATCTCGTAACATCCAAAGAATTCTTCAAAAGATGAAAATTTCTGATTAGTACGAGTAATATTTAACGTCACATCAAGACACAGGCACTCTTGTTTCGGCGATAAATGTTTAACCAATAGTATATGAAAGGCGTATAGTTTATGGTGCGTAGCATTTTTGATGTTAGATAATGCATGTTAACTCTGTGTCTGCTGACCATAAGTTAATTAGTAAATATCCAATGAGTGAATGAGATAGGGTCATGTGATCAGCGGTGCGGATAAGCGGCTACATCACTTTGAATTTTGACACCCGCAAGCTGACCACTCAGTGCACGAAGCACGTGAATTTTGAAGACCCGCTACCTTCCCCAGCGAGCCTACCTCATTTCTAATGATTTTAAAAACAACATATATAAATTATCTGTTTTGTTTAATTGTGATATATCTTTCTTATATTTGAAAAGTTTGTTTAGATGTGGCAAAGTTTGTTTAGATGTGCCATCTTTTTGCTATATTTTTCTTATCAGGTTGATTTTCTTGTTCTAAATGTACTTTTTTCTAATCATTTTTGGGGGATCAGACATTTTTATATTTTGCGTAATTTTCATTCTGAGCATGTGAGTCTGATCCCCTCTTTTGTATGTGAAATTTATTGCCTTTGATTTCGTCATTTTAATAAATGACATTATTCATCTCATGAATAATGTCATTTATTAAAATGACGGTATAAATGTGAACAATTTAACAAACAAGAAGGGGATCAGATTCACAAGCTTTGATTAGCAGTTACGTAAAATATGATAATGTCTGATCCCCCAAAACTGACTAGAAAAAGTATCTGTAAGACAAGACAATCAAAACATCATATGAAAAAATTAGCAAAAAGATGGCACATCAAAACAAAATAGGCCAAGACCAGACAATCAAAACATCATATGAAAAAGTTAGCACAAAGATGGCACATCAAAACAAAATAGGCCAAGGATAGTAGTGAAACAAAATACAAGTACATAAAAAAATTATAAATAAACAAATTAAATCAGAACCAATCAAATATATAATTTTATATGACACATTAATACCCATTTTAAGGGGTAGGAATGCAGGGGTGGAGGAGGGTCTTCAAAATATACGTGCCTGATGTTGGCGTGGTCAGCATGCGGGTTATCACAAACAAGCTGCGGTGAGCTTGCCTATAAGCATAAGAATACATAAATAGTATTATAATAACACTGTGTTATTATATATAATACTATGGGTTAAAAATTATTACCGAAACAAGTGCCTGGGAAATCAAGACATAGCTTTTCATGTCACCTCTGTAATCGTCAAGGTTTTCCATATAAAACCGATGATTAATATGTACAGTAGGTAATCATACTTGTAACACTAACCCTAAAACTGACAAAAACCAATAGTTCAATTTTGATCCATGAGCTCGGCATCGGTCTCACTCGCGCACGACACTTCATATTCGTCTTATGCCTAATATTTGAAGCATGTTCAACCCGAAAAAATTTGCAATCGTTTATCAAGACTTTCTTAAAAACATTTACATTTACCATATCAACTTAATTCCTTAAATTCTATCTTTTTCCTCAATCGAAAATTTGTGGGATTAACTATAAACATTAGGGTTTGTAGGCTTTAGAATGCTCTAAGAACTCTCGACCAACTTAGGACTACCCTGTTGGAGGGTTCAATTGTATCCCTATGAGAAAGATAAATACTCTGATGGACTTAGTGCACAGGAAAATCAAGGTTGTTAATGATGTGCAAGGGTGAGAATTTTCAGTATCACATTTAGGTGGTACTGTGTCATATGAATTTCAATAACTCAAGAATTATCAGCCCAAACTCCATAAAATTTTTGAATCTTGTCGATTAAAGATGAATCTAAATGTTTGGTAAAAATAATTAAAATACATTAAAAATAATAGCTCTAATTCACTTTAAGTCTACTATGCGTTTCTTTTTCCTTTCTGTTTATATACGATAGGTTTGCCAGAGAGGGTAACACAGGATATAGAAATTTAAACCATTACATCGTAAAACTACATGTAAATTTTTATGAATGGTATGCTGCTTCCCTCGTATCTCGCAACACAAATCAAATTTGAAATTTTTAACCTGAATTGAAAGTGTTTTTTTTTTTCATTTTCTTTTTCTTGTTTTTTTTTTCCTTTTTTTTTTTTTTGCCAAGAATAAAGTGAAGGAGAGGAAGACATGTATTAGTGTGTGAAGGAAGGTGTGCCAAAAACATTTTTCACTTTTAATTTGTTGAACAAATATTACAGTTGGTTGTACATCTTCTTATTTACAGTTGTGTGGCAGAAGTGAAGATAATTTTATTTTTTTCTCTATATGTTTCATTGAAAACAACGTTTAACAAAATCATTGGCAAATGGTCAATTTTTGTCCAATTTAATTATTTATTTCAGTACTTAAACCAGAAAATATGTAGTTATCTTTATTTAACAGATCATAACTTATTTATTTTTAGTAAAAGATAGTTTATCACTTAACATCAGTTCTTAAATTCAAGATCAATGTTGACTATATAAGTCATTGTGAGTCACACTTAATTTTTTAAAATATCAATGCTAATCAGATAAAAACTGTAGTTTTATTAATTTCAACAATTTCTTTCATTATTAAGAAATTTGTGATAAAATCTGTAAAGAAATGTTGTCATTCCAGTGATTTTACAAAATTTTGTTTTCAATGAAATATATAGAGAAAAAAATAAAATTATCTTCACTTTTGGCACACATCTGTGCTTCGCTACATGTACCTCTTAAAACATGCTACATGCCTGAGAGAGGAATGCAAATTAGATTCTATTACTTATTTATGTCAATCCGAAGAGGACAAGATTGACAATAATAATATGGAACTTCTGGGTCTTTACCTTCTTAGAGTGGAAATCATGACGTTATTTAAATATATACTCAACATGATTTCAGACTTACGTGTACCTGAAAGATTTGTCTGTCGATTTAGTTTAATTATTACCACCAGAATAAAATATAACAATGGGCTACAAGTCTTACCTGTCGCACTTTTACGATAACATCTAATTGGTAAGTCCTGTCCAATGATAACTGTGATACTGGCGCTCAAAATAGCCAGAAAACATTTAGTTGAAAACTGCATTCCTGAAAAGGATTTTTAAAAATCGAAGAATATCTTATACAATCTTCCATATATGATATAAACATTTGAAAGAATGTAAATATACGTAGTATATGTTATATATAAACATTCATTCTTACCTGTACAGTGTTGATAATACCAAGTTTCAACAGACACCTGTCGCTGACGTTCACCTACTTGTGACAACTTTGATGTACAATCCAGTTTTAAAGAAAAATTATAAATGTGCGCTCTGGGTTATCCAATGCATACCGATTTTACTCCTTTTTTTATCGGACAATTTACGATGACTTCCTGAGGTGTATTTCCGAGACACTCCTTTTACTCCAATATCTTTTGCCTTTATCTCATGACGTATTAAAAAGTGTCTATGTGTCTTCCAAACTTCTTTAACTTAATGATTTATTCTTTTCTGATTATAATGGGGAGTATTGTACAGGATTATCGCCAAGAAATGAAATAAGTTAATTTTATCTAAAAAAAATTGTTGATTTGCAATCTCATCTAAAAATGGCCCGACTGAACTTTTGTTAAACATCAAGAAGCAAAAAATATATTTATTCTGGAAAATTGCTTTTCAAAATCTTAAGAAATGAAATTGAAATTATTCTGAGAAAAAAAATCTCGCCTACCGAGCCCGCTCTTTCACCCCGAGTCGGGAAATGGCAAACAATCATTTTTTAAAGAAAATATTATAATATTACAGAAGTGTCCTTAAACAAAACGTGGATCTGTTTTGAATTTCGGAAGTATTATCTGAAAACCTCTTGTTTATTCAAACATTTTTTTTTAAATTCAATTTTAATTTTGATTTAACAAATAAAATACATGTGCAATTTGAAAAATTATAGTAAAAGAATTTAGACAATTGGAAATTTTTATGAGCTTTTTTAGCAATCATCATTATTGTATGTTTACCTATAGGGGCTAAGGTGCTTCGACTTTAGTCATGATGGATTCAATTCAAAATTTCTTTGTTATCTTTAATATGTATTCCAAAGCAAATGTTTCATATCCTATTATGTCATTCATCACTTTCCAAGTTTGCGAGAAAGTTTCCAGGTACGCTCAATTTGAAATTAAGTATCGATCTAAATAAATATCTATGATTAAAACCTTTTTTCCAATACTTCAAAAATATGCTTTTTTATTTTGATAAAAAGAGCACTACATTTTGTCACCTTTACATACAAACCTAAAAATTGCACAATTGTGCAAAGAGAAATTTTTGCCCTAAAGTATTCATAAAACGGTGGGAGAAAGAAAAATTGGAGGGTATATGACTGTTTTATAGCGGTTTATAAATGATCAACGCGTAAAAACACAGCCAAAAAACGGAACGTCATTGAGTGTCATGGAGCACTGCACTACGTAAAAATTATGTAAGCAGACTGGAAAATGTCTAAAAAGAGATTAAAATGTTAAAGATGCTGTCGGGAATTTTCTACACCTACGAAGGGCAAGTTTTCAAACGGTTGTATCTTCATAAGAATGGAAGGATTAACATTTTGGAAAGAATTGCATGGTTTTTTGCTAAATTTACTGCAAGAGACAAAAGACAAAGAGATATAAAATTTTATGAAAAATTGAAGAAATGAAAGATTTATAATATTTTATTTTTCATGTCTCATGACCTTATGATAAAAATCGTTGTAAATTTTCAAAATTTTATTTTATGGACCTGATTTTTTACATACCAATAAAGAAAATGTGGGAATTTATTCACACAAGTCTTAAGTACACAATAGATTTTTTGTAATTCAATGTGTGCGACCCCCAAGATAATATTTAATTCCAGAGGTAGAAAAATGCGTAGTGGAACAATATAAATGCACACTTTGGAAAGAATTGCATGGTTGCTAACATAGAGACCAAAAAAATATATAAAGTTACTTCTCGTTTACACGAAATAAAGTCTTAATCTTAATGCGACAAGATAATTTTTAAAAAATATTCTCAACAATATTTTTTTAAACAGTTTCCAGCACGTAAAAAAAAATAATAAAGAAAACCAGTATCGTCATGTCTTTGGTTTTTGTTTCTGTTTGGTAGGAATGATTTCTTTCCAAAAACTGCAATTAAATTGTTCACAAAGGCATGTTAGGTTAAAATAAAATATTAAGACAATGAAGAGTATTCATCTCGAAAATTCAGTGAAACAATACTTCATTGTAATTGGAGCAGAGCAAACATGGATCTCAAAATTTCAGAGGTGCCATTGAGGAGTGAGCATCTACTGCCCACCAATCACACCCACTGTGTTCTCCTTGTCATGATCCGGGAAATAAACGTGGACAGATCAATGTGTAAATCATGGCCTAGCAATTAGAATGAAAAACACCAGTAAGCATTTACTTTGTCTCATGATAGGCTATAAGTGCTGAAAAGGTCATTGTATCGACCATAAAACTTGCCAAATGAGAACTTCAAACGAGACTGTTGATATTCTTGTTTGATCAACTTTTTTGTCAATACCTTGCCCCGTTTGAGAAATTTTCATACGTAGAGCATGGTCTTGCATATCAATTTCACTGATAAACAGAAAAATCCATATGCAGGCGATAAGCTTAAATGAGGAAACTCATTTATCATTATGCTTTGATGTAAATTTACTATCAATGTTTTTTTTCTAATAAAATATCAAAATTTGAAACAAATGTGTCAGACTTTTGGTATCTTTATTTCAAGCTCTTGAATTAAAAGAATTTTTAGCTGTATATTGGCATTATTCAAAACCAGATGTTCAGTTGATTATCAACCGTTTCTACTGGTGTTTTGAGGAAGATATGTCTAAGATAAATAATTGCAATATTTTAAAAAGCTCCAGGACCAATGACGTTCCATAATAAAGAATTAATTAGAAGGTCAGGGATCAGCTCCCCGGTCAATAGCATTGTTTCATTAACACAACATTTATTCATATATGATACATAGTAACATGTATATTCAATTCTTTGTGTCTTGTTATTTAAGAGCCTTCAAAAGCAAAAATTTGCAATAAATAATAATGATCTAAAGTATTATATTGAACGTCTTGAAATCTTAGTGTTTTTCTTCTTATTAGTATTTGTATATACAGCAATTTCTCTAATTATAAGCCAGGTTATTTGATCTTTTGTGATTGTTATTTTCAAACATTTAAATGGTTGCGTTGAATTTAACAAATTAACGTCAATATTGCCTTGAACAAAAAATCCCACTACGCTGAGATTTGAACAAGAAATTTTTTTCTTAGATATTTTTTTCACAGATGTGCCAACTTCTAGAGTTCCATCATGAAGATAATCAGCCCTTCTTATTGTTTTTCCAGTGAGCACAACTACACGTGCGATTTTATGCGGTGATTTGAAAACTACTGTATAGTGGTCTCCAACTCGTGGAGTAGTTGACCAAAACATTTCATTGTCATTTGTGGAATACGCAAATGCGGGTTTGAATGACATCCATGGAGAGAGGGATGTAAAAATATCTGCTTCCGGGTTATCTCCATGGAAACGTTTCTTGAATGACGGAAAGTGCGAATAGGATTCGGTGACATTTCTTACTAAATCTGGCATAGATGAAAAATATCCTCTATGCTGAAAAAGTGATGGTATTCTAAGGAATCTTTTTTCTTGTAACATGAGTTTTAAAAAGTAGAAAATTAAATAATCACAAGGCTGTTCGTTATAAAATGTTCTGAGTAAACCTGCCAGTTTTTCTAAATTATTTGATTTAAAGAATTTTCCAATGAATCCCTGACTTGAAAATTCCAGCATCGTCCAATATTTAGATTTATGCATATATTCTTTTATTTTGTCCACAAATTTGGGAACTGTGATGACGTCATCCTCTAATTGTAAGTAATACTGCGACCTATTGGCACAATATTGCATTAAAAAAGAGTAATCCAAATTCTGTTTAGATCGCCATCGAACTCTGGTCTCTGAATCATTGAAGGTCCGTTTCAGATGAGTCAGCTGGGCATACAAATCTTCCGGTGTTTCTATAATCGTTATTTGTCCACTTTGTATGTGTGGGAGAAACATTCTGGTTAAGTTAGTTTTAATGTTTTCCCTACACGCCTTGCGTGTATCACATATGCATACGACAATGGTGACCCCTGTCACTCCCTGCATGTTATTGATAAGGGACGTCACGGTAGAATTCAGGTAATTCTTGTTCCTACGGCAAACTGTAGGAATACCAATCATTAGCCAAGCTGTAAATAACAACCAAAAATAGGTGAACGTGATACATAATTGTGTGCAATACATTATTAAGTGCACTTTTAGTCGAAATGTTAATTAAAATCAATTTAAAAGTGTGTTTAGGAGAGAGAGAGAGATATTTATAACTAACAAATAAATACATGTACTATAGTACACTAAAGTAATAGTAATTCAAAGTTATTTTCATTAAAGTAAATATTCCAAAGTTTTTACTATAGTAAATCAAAATTCCGAAGTTTTTTACTATACAGTAAATCAAAGTTCTAAAGTTTTTACTACTGTAAATCAAAGTTACAAATTCTAACTATACTTAATGAAAGTTTCAAAGTTTTCTGATCAGTTTAACAATTTATAAAAACTTATGTATTTTTATCAATTTGTGTATAATTAGCCATTTTAAGGGGGTAGTATTGTGTTGGTTGGGGATGGTTTTTGTTGTACATTTTGATTTAAGGGGGCCGACTGGGGTTTTTTTGTGTGAAATTACCATATCGAAATTCTTCATTTTATACCATATATAACTTACATTAACTTCAGTGTATATGCCAAGTTTGGGGGAAATCTACCGTCTAGGTATTTTTAAGGGACCGTCTCAAAATACAGGTATATTTACTATAGGATTATATAGGAAAATACCAAGTTTATCATTTTGAAGCAATTTATACAAATACTACCATAGATTTTTTGTTCAAACTATAACATATGATGAGTAATACTATATTGTACATAATATGTAAGAAACACAAAATTCTACCGTCTTGTTACCAGAGGGGACATCTCAAAATGCCAAAAATGAACGAATTTACCTGTTTTTTTAGATTACAAAAAATATGACCGACAAAAAGGATTTATATTAAAACATTATAGAAATAATAGAGATACTCTCAAATTTCTATGTTTAAAATTCTATGAGCGTATGTTTATTATTTTTTCTTTAATAACATTTTATTATCCCTTTATGTAAGAGCTTCAGTTTTATCATAACGTCAAAAACACACTGTAACCACATCAACCTACCTATTAATTGCAAAATCGGTAAAAAAAAATCAGTTATATGAAAATGTAATTATATTTTTAAACCTGTAATTTCTAAAAATTTATTTAATTTTATTAAATAAGCAAAAAAAGTTGCTTTAAAACAGTACGTACGCTTCATTTTACTATGATCCGCAAAAAATTGCACAATGAAAACCAAAGTCGGCCCCTTAATATGTTGACTGAAGTTGAGGAGGCAGATTTCTTTATTCTAAATGACCTAAATTTTATTTCTGTAGCATATATATCATTTTATTCTCTTGATAAATAAGACTAAAGTTAATCTACATAACATTTAAATTAAATATAATGAAAAAAACATTGCTTATTCATCAGTACAAGAGACACTTTTTTTACATAAATGTTCATTCCATGTACATTATTCTTTTAGGGGAGTGGTCAGGTTTAAAAAAAATTCTCTGAAGCTTTTATGAATCTTAATCTTGAAATATCAGAAATATGAAATTATGAAGAATGGGAATTAAAAACACACTAACATCAAAGTTCCAAAATTTTTACCATAGTAAATCAAAGTTCAAAAGCTTTAACTATAGTAAACGAAAGTTCCAAAGTTTTAATTTTAGTAAATCAAAGTTCCAAAGTATTCACTAAAGTAAATCAAAGTTCCAAAGTATTTACTTTGGTACTATACGAGTAGTTAACTTAAGTACATGTAAATATAAAATAATAGAATTTTTGTTAGGAGAGAGAGAGAAAGAGTAAAATTGATACAGTACAAAAGGGACTGCCAAAATCCTGATGGAATGACAGACAAGAAACATGTACAATTACTATAAAGAAGTTTATGAAGGGTTTTCTAACAGGATATTAAAGTAATTTTACCTTTGTTTGGCTTCGTATTCTGTATAGAGAAAAAGAAAATATATCTTGTTTCTTTGATGTCAAGCATTGAATATCCAAGTTTATGGTAAAACAAAATATAGGAAAAATTTTATTTAAAAAAAACTTCATACCTCCCACTGCACTGCATTTCGCTCCAGAATCCCAATCTTTGAGACCGAATCTAGAGATATAAAACAATGCAGCAAATTTAAACTAAAAGTTGAGTTGTTTATAAATATATAAATTCAATTGTTTTTTAAACCTACACCAAAGATATGCATATTAAATTTGATATGGAAGATATTTTAATTACGACAAATATTAAGGAAAATCAAACCTTCAAGTTATATTACATGTGCATTAAATAATTTCAACATGTTATCCAAAAAAAAAAATAAAATTAAATAAAAATTCGGAGTTGATTTGTACAAAACAGACCGGTCTGTATAACTGGTACAGCCTGATTCCCCATCAGAGATCTATGTACCTCTAACATAACGACATGCTCAGACGAAGCACGTCATTTATATGCTTTCTGTTGTATAACCATAAAAATCCATATTAGCCGTTACTTTTGACAGATAATATTGATTTATCATTAATTACATATGCTTCAAATAAATCTGCGCTAAATAGATTGCATGTATCCTGATGGTCAGTGCAAGTTACTCCTGAGAATAACACTTTTGGCTAATACAAAATTCGTGATTGTAATAAAAGCATTTGACTAAAAATAAGACATATAAAATATATTTATTTTAATTGTTGAAAAAACATGGAATTTAATTCATCATAAGAGTTGGTAATTAAAGTAAAATTTCAAAAAAAATTATAGTGACAGAGATGATTTTAATCAATGCAATGAATATAAATTTATGGTTATGCAATTTCAGTCAAAAGCTGACACTGTGTCTTTGTAAATATGTTTTTATTGTCTCCATTAAAAAGACATTCACCAAAATGCATTTAAAATGAAGCTTTGGCTTCTCAATAAACCTTTTTGGATTGAAAAACAAGCGAGCTTGAAATAAGATAACAAAGACTATGACACATCTCTTTATATTAATTTTGGATATTTTACTATATGACGACTTTAACTTTTCATCAGTCAATTTCCCTTATTTATGCAGCAATATACCTTTATCACTTTCATATAGGGATTATTTCTATCAGTTGATTCGATACGCAAAAGCACACTCTACGTATGATTAATTTCTAAAATAAGGTTATTCATTGACAAACAAGTTGATAAAACAAAAATTAATATCACCAGTTTCGTTTATTTAAAGTCATAATTTCGTAAGGTCTATGGATGATACAAATACCTTGTCAGCAAATATACAATCAATCAGAGAGTCAAACATACATATTAACTTTGTATAATGATTTACATACTAATTTTTTGGTTATTTTTAACATTCTAGATTATTAGGGGATTTTCCTGTTATTTTCTAGTCATGACAAAGAGCACACGGCGTGATCAGTCGGCAAGGGATGCTCACTCCTCCATGACACCTGATCTCATCTTTATGTTCTAGAGGTTTGTGATTGCTCTGCTCCTAATTTGTATTATGTAATGTACTTCTTAGCTTGAATACTGTTCGTTTTCCTCCATACATTTAACGAAACTATTTTTAAAAGGTACAAAAAGGTGGAGAGAATATACATTTGTGAAAAAGTGAACACGTGATACTAATAATCGCACTATTAAATTCATCATAACATATATATTATCCATCATAACCTGTTGGAGAAAAATATGAAAACCACATGATTCTTTGTCTTTAATGTAAAGGGAAAAAAGGAATTAGATGGATTACATGATTAACATTTACTTTCCCAGCTGACAGACTTTCAAGCGATAATTAATGTTTTTTTATCTTGAAGTTCACAGTTTATATAAGAAGGATATGGAGATAACGAACAGTATTCAATCTCAAAGTCCATAAAACAAAAAAAATAAGAGCAAAGCAGACAAGGACCTCCGAAACATCAGAGGTTGGATCAGGTGCCATGGAGGAGTAAGCATCCCCTGCTGACCGGTCACACCCGCCGTGTGCTCCTTGTCATGATCAGGAAATAAAGGGAAAATTCGGCTTCAATTCAGTGTATAAATAATGGACTAACGTCAGTCAGTATTTGACTCAATGATAAATTGCATTTGCTGACAAGGTCATTGTATCGACCATAGAACTTACGAAATGATGACTTTAAACGAGACGGCTGATATTCTTGTTTCATCAACTTGCCTGTCAATAATTTACCTCGTTTAAGAAATTGTTCATACGTAGAACAAGCTCTTGCGCATCGAATCAACTGAGATATATATACTCCGTATGCAGGTGATGAAGGTATATTGCTGCATAAGTAAGGGAAGTTGACGATAGAAAAGTTAAAGTCATCACGTTTATCATATAGCTTGGTTGTTAGATTACCATTAACGTCTTTTTCAATTAAAATATCCAAGTATGAAACAGATTTGTCAAATATTAGACAAATATGTGGTATCAAAAAATATCTTTGATAACCAGGTTTTATATATTGAATTTTATATACGAATGCTAAAAGGAAATAAAGTTTGAACATTTCAATTTTTTTTAATTGATAAGTTCGTTATAAAAGATATATTTATTATATCTAATTGAAGGCCACAGCTATAGTAAATTGTTTTCTTCGTTGTAACCGTAAAATTTTACAAAGATTTGTTCATATGAATATAAAAAAACTCCGCTATAACGTGAATTCGCTGTATCCGTGTTCGTACTAAACGAGTTTTACTGGTTCCAAAAGATTGTTGGAATACCTGGTCTCCAAAAACCACATAGATATTGTTAATCAGAAACTCAAGCATCTGTTTGATGTCAACTTCAGAGTTCTTGTGCATGCAATCAGAATTGTTTTAACAAAATAATTTTGCAAATGACCAATGACCAGGTAAGTAAATTTACGAGTTCCATTTTTATTTTAAAAAGCAGCTGTCAATGATATCGAAAAGCCTGGACTTTAATTTATCGTTGGGAATGGTTGTAAATAAAGTTGAAAAGTCGTAAGTTTTTAAGCTGTTGATTTTGGTAAAATCTCTTGTAATTTCAAATTGTCCAAAAGTTCTTTGGAATTTTTGAGTATCCACATCTGATTCACACCACTTCTTGAACATATTGTTGCACAGTACTCCTGAAGTTTTTGAACTAATTGGTTATAACACTATTGTCATAGGCATTCCCATATTTTATTTATAACTTATATTGACAATAATAATTTTATTTCAGTCTTTAGATTTCTACATTAATGTTTTTTTCAGCATGATGTCCCATCAAATCTGGCATTTGTAAATATGGAATTTTAATTTTGATGTATAATTTATGCGTGATGTGATTCAAATGATAAGGAAAACTTTTTAAAAATGAACCTAGAGCTCATGGTGTTAACATACCTTCTATACGATAGTTTCCCAGGTACTGCCAAAGAGTGTGGATATACACACACACGGACAGGGTAATAACAATCCAACTGACACGATATCCCCACCTGCATAAAAATCGCAATGTCGTCTTCATCATTTCATTCGGGCATTTCTACAATGAAATTTTGCAATACAACTATCATTGATAAAATAATAGTAAAGTTCATTTCAGAAAAAGCTTTTTCACATATTTACCCATATACCTAACGTCAATAAAAGAAGAATTATATCTCACCGTAAAATCTGTAATCAAATAATGTCTATCCCAGAAATTACAGGTAATAACATGAAATGACTAGAGTTATATATTTATTTTCCTCATGACAACTCTAGGACCATTAAACGGACAGTAGTGACCAGCGCTGGCCGTAGATCACGACCTGTGAACTCCAAAACACTGTCGGCACCGAGCCCAAGACATCCTGTCCGGTGTTAGTAGAACTAAACGAAGTACAGCCATAACTAATCCTACCGTGAATCCACAAAAAAATTAAAATGGTTTTAATTTTGACAGATTGCATTCAAGATGAATAGTGTATAACATCGACTGAGTACGTTCGGCAAGGATTTCATAATTCGGGAAACACTTCATTTTAAATATGTTAAATACATTACATTGAAAGGTGCGTAGCTGTGTTCAGAAAATTCTTAGTGCTCTGTTTGAACGGTTGAGACTAGGGCTTACTGTTCGTTGTCTCCATATGTTTCATACCTGAAAGTGATTTCCCGGGGCAAAAATAATTTTGATCTTTTGACATTGACCTTAAAAATTGAACCACTCTTTAAGAATTTGAAACTGTTAAATAATGTGTTACGATTTTCATATTATACAATTGTATTCCTTGTAAGATGCCTTTCTTTCTGTACAAATAATTTTGAGCCAGTGACCTTTACCTTACGTTTGACCTACTTTGGAAAAAAATTAACTTTGGGTAAAACTTAAACGGTGCTAGGGTTATCATATTCAGCAAGTGCATTTCTTGTGAAAAGTTTTACCTATTGTAAAACAACAACGTATCCTTTGACTATGACCTTCGATTTTGAACTTCTTTTGAAAACTTTAACGTAAGCCATTAATTCTGAACAGTTGGTGCTAGGGCTTTAAATTTTTCTAAAATTTATTTTTATTGTATCAAGACATTTACAGACATAAACTAGGGTACCAACAACTTTGACACCTTAGACTTGATCTACTTTTGAGAAACTTTTCTTTTAAACGGTTGGTGCTACATTGTACGCAATTCATATTTCACAGATTAATTCTTTGTGACAAGACTTTCGAATTTAAATATTGTATTTGAGAAACTTAGAATCACATCTTAAAACCATATGCTAGAATTATAATCAGACAATCATGCTTTCGAAAGGCATATTTTGGACCGAACAGGCTATAATTAAAAAGTGTTTTCTTCTCTGTGTTGCACAACTACAGATGAATGAAATGTAAAGATACTTATAACAAACAGAAACCAAATACAAAATGGGAGCAATGGATACAACGCATCAAAGATAGGTGGGATAAGGTGAAATGAATGAGTGAGCATCCCATGTCGAACGGTCACTCCCGCCATGTGTGCTAATTGTCTTGATCGGGTAAAACTGAAAGACACGTAGACAATTGTGTATAAGAAAATGGCCAAATAATTTACATTAAAAAAGGTCAGTCTACATATGTATATTCGATTTTATGATTAATTGTATTTGCATGCCAAAAGGTCATTATATCGACCTTGAAATTTGCGAAATGACCTTAAACGATGCTTTTAATATCATTGTTTCTTCAATGTATACCTGTACTTTTGCTAATCAATTAGGAGAGAAAGGCTTCTTATGTATGCATGTAATAAGTATTATTGCTATATGAATAAGAAAAGGTGACGATTGAACGATAGAAAAGTTGGATTTAATTCATTTTTTTTTAATTTTAATGAGAAACTATTTCCAATGGTGTATGCGGCAGCGTAGGAGGAACGACAACTCTAGATAGAGAATGATAGGAAATTATTTTGCTTTATCATTTAATTTTACTTCGTTTTGATTTTGAAAAATACAGATCGTCTTCACCGGTTATACTGTATTGACTTAAAACTGCTTGACGGTTTTTTTTCTTTGAGAGCCGAAAAAAGAAATCAAAATAGATACATGGAAAATTTGAATCTTTCTTTTCACCATCAATAATGTAGTTGATTGTGTAAACTAATTAATCCGGGATTCGGCGCAGTTCATTTAATAAATGAAATCAAGTAACATATTTTGTATATTTAAAAAAAAAACTTCAAAGACAAGTTGGCAAAATTAGGCAATCAAAGTCAACATTGATATCTGATTATGTTCAGATATTTCCTAAATAATTATGTACTTATATCTGAGTTGAAATGGTAAATTATTTCTTCCTTTCCTACAATATATAATGTATAATTATCGTATTTATTGACTAAAGAAAGTGTTCAAATAAGAAAAAATAATCTGCTTCAATTACTTAAGTGAAGTAATCAAACATTGACCGCTGCAGTAAAAATTTACGAATAAAACAAAATTTTCACCCGGGAATGAAACTCGGTCACCCATAAGGAACCAGATAATTGAGAGTAATATAATAATTCTATGTCGATCGGTTACATCAGCAAAATGTTTCTTTCAGTTGGTGTTTAAGTTTTAACGTCTATATTGAATAATTTTAATTCAGTTTTCGATTCCCAAAATAAACTAGATACTGAAAATAATGCATTGAAAAATTTATGCTAAATCGAGTAAGACAAATACTAACAAGAAATACAACCTTCTTATACTAAGGAGATACTGCATTGTGTAGTAAAAATATGTCTGCAATTCTTTATTCTAATACAATGATTTCTCGTTTATTTAGAACAATAAATTAATGACTATTAAAGCTGTCAAATCTTAAGTACCTCTCTGCTAAAAAAAAAAAACAACTACCAACCACCAAAATACATTTAAATTATTTTGTGACACAGATGTGCGTTTTATTCCTCTGATCTGATGTGATGTACTAATAGCTAATAGCGAAATTGAAAAACACATTGTCATTAGTGAGGCTATATCATTAACTGTACGTGGTATGATACATATCGTTCATCAGATTAAAGCCGAAGGCTATGTTCGCTCATATTTTTGTGTAAACAAAACAAATATTTTCTTAGGAATTCCACCTTTTAACAGTGTTTATTATAACTAATAGTAAAATTTATTGTGCACAAGAACAGTATACGTAGAACTTGTTGCTTAACAATTACTAGTACATGTATTGATAGAATATTCCCTTGACCTGACAAAAATAAGATCGAAACTGTTTGAATATTATTTTTCAGGCTTAAATTGTGTCTTATATGTACGTATATATTTCTGCATCGTTATGTTATCTGATTCTGCTTCATCCCGCTATGTTTCTCTGCCAAGTACACAAACATGCACACACACACCCTCACATGTATATATTCCTATTAATAAGAGATATACAAAGCAGATGTGTGCCAGGCAGAAGCTCCCAAGGTTAAAGTAGGGTGTAAATAAAAGGAAGCATAGCTTACACAAACAAGCAAACATGGAGGAAGAAGAAAAAGTAAGTGCGGGTTATAGTATAATTAAAGCTTTACAGTTTGTATAGTTTTAGTCAGAGACCAAAAGATCTTATGTATTAGTAGGGTATGCTATGTCTGTCTTAGTGTTTATAAACATAGGAATCTCAGGAATTTTTCTACATACTGCGCACAATTTAGCAAATATGTAATTCTAAGAAATATGGTTTTGACAGCAGGCTATAATACTTTAAAACCAATGTTGCTAAATTGATTATTTTCTTTGAATATGCTTAATTCTTTAAATTATGAAGTGCTTTATTGGCTTGCACTACTGTTGTGTATATGAATCAATTATTAAATTCACTGCGTTAATGAATTTTTTTTTTAGAAAACCAAGTCTGATAAGAACGCAACAGGTGCCGAACCAGAAAAGTGGACACGAGAGAGTTTACAGCGCCTCTTAGCTGACGCAATCACACATCAACTTCCGCTGGATGATATCAAAGTGATCCTGAATGGCGGTGCAGATATTAACGGAATGGTCACAAAAGGTTTAAGACCACTTCACTATGCTACATTCGTAAATTCAAAAGAATGTGTTCAGTTTTTGATTAACAATGGTGCATCGGTCAATCTGACTGATGACGTTGGTTATACGCCCTTACATATATGTTCCAGAAAGGGCTATTCAGAAGTTATGAAGATTTTAATAGAAAATGGCGCTACAATTAACTTCTGCTCGGCTGAGGATGGAGAGGTTCGTGAATCTAGTCGTTCCTTGGGTTACCTAACATTGGAACCTCTTAACATTGCGATAGATCAGAATCACACAGACTGTGTCCGTCTTCTACTTCAGAGTGGGGCCCGTCCCGACAACAAGTATTTTATGGGATATGAAATAAATTTAGTGCCTTTAGATCATCTGCAATGCTTGAAATTGATTATAGATTTTGGTGCAGATCCAAATACTTGTAATAGGTGTGGAATAACTCCTCTAATGAGGGCATGTAGAGAAAATAACGCACGTGCAGTAAACTTTCTCTTAGCACACGGAGCGGAAGTTGACGTCGAATGCCCACCTCGATTTGAACAAAGGAGAGCCATTCATTTTGCAATTCAGGTTGGGAACTTAGAAATTACAGAGATCTTGCTACAAAATGGGGCCTCTAGGACTCGATCTGAGAATTACAGATACAGTCCTTTACATGAAGCAATACTGAGAGATCAAGTTAATTTGTGCAAATTGTTGATAAACTACGGAAGTAACGTTAATGAGAGAACAGAAAGTGACGCCACACCTGTAATGTTAGTCTGTGGTACAGAGGGACTTCACCACAGAAAACAAATTCTTGAAATCCTTCTCAACAATGGAGGGGGGGTAAATGCGTTTTCAGACCATGTCAGTTATTCTCACCCATGCTTATCGCCCCTCACAGAGTACCTTAAGCTTGAAGATGAAGAGGCAGACTTTGAAATTGTTTCACTCCTCGTCCAACATGGAGCTAGGGTCAGTTTTCGTGGAACCCGTGGAGTTAATTACGTGAGGGATCCATATGGAATACTCTCTTCAATGCAGAAGTTTGTTTCAAAAGACAATGTGTTTAACTTACTAGTGGAGGCTTCATTTAATTTTGATGTGGACAGTATAAAACAGACGGATTTGATAGCACCTGACGTTAAGCAATACTTAACTATGCTAGGAAATCGCCCAAGACAGCTAAAACAAATTATACGACTATCTCTCCAGAAGTTTTTATCTCCTCAATTTCCTAGCACTGTTAAAAAATTGCCTGTACCACCCTTTTTGAAATCATATCTTTTATTTCATTTAGAATAATAATACTAAAATGAATTGCTTGCTAGTTCCCTCCTCGTAGTTATCTTCCATTCGCAATTGATGATTATTTTAACTATTTTTAACAATAAGCCAAAAAACAGAAGTTTATTCAAAGAGTGTTATTAGACATTTAAGAACTACAATAACTTCCGGTATCAGTGATGCAACAACGCTGGTTGTCAGCGCATGCTTCATCCCACCAGCATTCATACTCCATCGGATTTCTGTTTTGAGATATGTCGCACTCAGATGGTCGATTTTCATCACTGACCTTTGGGCTATCTGTAATAAAATTCATAAAAGCTCAATAAAATTCGGTAGGGCGCTAACTTTTATTGTGACGACTTTACTTGTAGGTATTTACAATACAGCTACGACTTCCACAAATATTCTTGCAATTGTTTAATGGTTTCTTTTCTACTCTTCATTTTGATGTAAACCAATACAACTACGACACTTAAGAAAAAACACACACAAATATTCATGCAATTTTTTAATGGTTAATCTTGTTTTTGCTAAAGAATAGATATTTCTTCTATTCATTTTGATATAAACCTAGCCTGTGTTTTATAAAATGTTTTTAATTAGTAAACAGAGAAAAAACTTGGAATGGCCTAGTATAAAATTTAATTAGTATCCTTATAGCCTAATCAAATTAAACTTAAAGAATCAACATAAAATACATGCATTTAAAATCCAAGGTTTGCAATTCAGAATTGTAGTTAATTTTTTTCAAGTGTAATTTTGGGAAAGTTAAAAGTTTTTTTAAGTGATTCTTCTTAATGTTGATCAAGATTTTGTAATAAACAATTATATCTTTAACATGTTTAATGCAGTCGCATCTTGTATCTCTGGCTCTCTGGGTGTGGTTGATTGATGCTAAAGAAAGTTTAAAAAGTGAAACCAATTTTCTTCAAAACAACCTACCATCAACGCATTCTTTTCTACAAGTGGATTTGGTGCAAGGTACCGAAAGATCGCAGTGCATGTTGGGAATAAAATATCCACAATCCATCTGAAACATCATACAGACCATTGTTAGTTACGAGAAAATAATTCTATACAAGGATAAGAAACTGGAAATTCATTTTTCACACTTGAGGCCATGCAATATACATACGCATATTCCCGGAAAACTTTGCAATTTTCTTCCTCTATCTTCATAACTCATAGCATTCATTTCCTGCACCACTACTACCATCTAAAATAGAAACTGATAGCACTGAATTCTTTTAAGTTTTATTAATAATTGATATCCATATAAATTATCTGACCTGTAAATAGGAAATATGAGATATGTATTACTGGTAATATATAATCTATAGGACAAACGTAACATGGGTATTTAAGATAGATAAAAAAAAAGCAATTACCAGTAGAATGATCCACCCAGAAACACCACTGCTCTGCTTCATTCTGTCACGATAACACTGTTTGTACGATAACACTTTTTTTTTACTGCGAGAGTTATTTATACTCTGAAAGTTACATCCCCCGGGGATCAATCCCAAATCCAAGGTTAGATTTAATTTAGATTATTGAAATAATATGATTTATATCAACAATTAAAGATTTTAATTTATGCCAAAACAATGAATGGATGTTATAACGAAGCATATGCATCAATCTCGTTTTGTTTTATGAACTTTTGATCTTGAATACTGTTCGTTATCTCCATATGTTTCATGATCGTGTAGGCTTTTAGGTAGCCAGAGGAATCAACTGCTGTTTAAGTGTAACAAATTTGAATAGTTAATATTTTTTGTTCAATTTACGCACCTGAAAAGGCATTTATTTAGAGAGCAGTTTCATATACAGTTATATACGAGGGTTGTCTCAACACTCTACAGAGTTTCAGTATTTAACTTTTTCCAAGACTACATAGACTTAGCTCATAATAAGAATCTTTCGAAAATTTTCTGGTAGATAAACTTTGTTGTTGATCGATAAATTGCGGAGTTTTAACATTATCACATGTAAAACAATTTTAATAAAAGTCTTATTGTTCCCTAACACCCAGAGCAAGCTCAGTTGTCGAAAAAGATGTTTTTAATTCACCATTCAGACTTTTTACGGAAAAATACACATATTTTATGAGTTAAATTCTTTAATTCATTAAAAAGTTAATAATATATATATATATATATATATATATATATATATATATATATATATATATATATATATATATATAATTTATATAAGTTTATAATTTATATAAGTTTATATTTTTAAATTTTATAATTTATATATATGCTATGCTAGTTGACAGTAAACTAGCCATTCTCGTATGGATTTACCAACGGAGGAAAATTTGAAAAGAAACGGATATAGAAAATAACTCAGGCACATAACGAATTTGAACAAGTTTTTAAATTCAGGAAAATAGAGTAAAAGTATATAAACTCATTTTTTCTTTCACAAAGTAATACGAAAGCAGGAAATATGCATGTGTAAAGTTAGCTAAAGTAGTTCCGACTGCTAAGTCGATTAAACTCCAGTTTCTATTGATGCAGTTATCAAAATAATTTTTTACCCAATCAGAATCTATTATGTTATTATATACCTAAATTGTATCAATCAATTTTACTGCTGAATTTACGTAATCACGTGACGTCCTGATCCGACTTTCCGGATCACCACACGGTGGTTTTCTGAATCCATATCACCACTCTCTGAAACTGATGACGTAGTACGCAAAAACATGACGTTATTTTTCTTGAGCGTTAAAAAGTCCATTGTTTTTATGTCTTGTTTTATGGATAAATATACAAAATTGATCTTTAACGTTTATTTTGGGTATATTTAGCTAATTATAAGGGGGTATATAATAAATTTTTCATTATAACAGTAACTTGATCCGAAGTATCAATAGTCCGACTGCTAAGTGCAATTGAACTCCAGATTCTATTGATGCAGTTATCAAAATAATTTTTTACTCAGTCAGAATCTATTATATTATTAAATGATAGAATCTTTCGTTAAAAATGATATGGATTATCACAGATAGCCCTTTTTTTATTAGCAAAACTATAAACTTATCAAGGACAGATCAGAATCTATTATTAATTTTCTGCTATTAAAATACTTTTACTCAAAGTAGGCAGATGTTAACGAAGGGTGAACCTTATTTACCTTTTGGAGAAATCAATGAACCAGATATGCATTGACAATCATTGTTTAGTATACAATTCTCTGTTAGCCCTGGGTTTTCAGTAAGGCGTAGCATTCTCGACGCTATTTAATTATCGTCTCTCAAATGGTAACCTTGATTCTCATTGGTTAAGAAATTAAAAACATCAGAAACTTTAGATTGTTGTTGAAAACGATGAGATGACTATGTCCCACCTCTTTGCCGTACACACGTCATCAGTCATAAAAAGGGATTTTGACGGTTATGTGCTCGCTCATATTCACAATTCAGTTCTTAAAAAATTGAAAAGAAATGAAAGATATAAATTCTATAAGAGTCCATTGCTCCTCCATCTAAGAAATCTTTGACCTTTTTCTAGGAAGAAAATACGTTTTCTTCAATTTGAAATTAGAAACTTAAAACTACTACACAATGCAAGTTTAAAAGAATGTGTTTAATTTTTGAATAAAATCTAATCTGATGATGTTGGTTATACGCCCTTACATATATGTTCTAGAAAGGGCTATTCAGAAGTTATTGAGATTTTAACAGAAGATAGCGCTATTACTAACTTCTGCTCATCTAGGGATGGAGAGGTTTGTGAATCTAGTCCTTCCTTGGGCTACCTAACATTGGAACCTCTTAACATAGCGATAGATCAGAATCATACGGACTGTGTTCGTCTTCTACTTCAGAGTGGGACCCGTCCAGACAACAAGTATTTTATGGGACATGAAATAAATTTAGTGCCTTAAGAACATCTGCAATGCTTGAAGTTGATTACTGTAAATTACTTAATATTCGCGTTGAATTAATTATCACGTAATTTTGCGAGAAACACCAAACACGAAATAAAATAACTCGCCTTTATTTTTATGGGGCTGAAATCTATGTAAAATTTATTGATCAACCGTCCATCCGCGAATTATTATTCTCGCGATTTGCCGTTGAATAGCCCATTCTCGATAATAAGTACTCGCGAAAAATAAAGAATCTACAGTATAGATTTTGGTGCAGATCCAAATACTTGTAATAGGTGTGGAATAACCCCTTTAATGAGGGCAAGCAGAGAAAATAACACAAGTGCTGTAAACTTTTTCCTACCACACGCTCCGGAAGCTGAGGTCGAATACCCACCTCGATTTAAACAAAGGAGAGCTATATATTCATTTTGCAATTTAGGTTGGGAACTTAGAAATGGTGCGTCTAGGGCTCGATCTGAGAATTACAGATACAGTCCTTTACATGAAGCAATACTGAGAGATCAAGTAGATTTGTGCAAATTGTTGATAAACTACGGAAGTAACGTTATAAAAGAACAGAAAGCGACGTCTGTAATGTTAGTCTGTGATACAGAGGGACTTCACAGCAGAAGACAAATTCTTAAAATCCCTCTCAGTAATGGAGGGGAGTTTTCAGACCGTGTCAGATATTCTCACCCATGCTTATCGCCCCTCATAAAGCCCTCATAAAGCACATTCAGCTTGAAGATGAAGCGGCTTTGAAATTGTTTCACTCGTTTCCTTGCCCAACATGGAGCTAGGGTCAGTATTCATTAATTATTTCATTAGTGTTCACTAATTATTAACCTACCCTAGACGCATTCTTTCCTACAAGTGAATTTGGTGCAAGGTACTGACAGATCGCAGTGATAGCCGGGAACAAAATACCCACAATCAATCTTAAACATCATAAAAAACATTGTTACCCTTACCAAAATACTCACCTTGAGGCAACATCTTCTGGCATTATTGCTGCAATATTGCAGCAACATTCTGGCAATACATTGCAGCAATATTGCGGCAATATCGTTTTTCGTATGTAAATTAGATTTGCGGCAATATTGCCAGAAAGGTGTTGCGGCAATGTTGCTGCAAAGCAATTGCAGTACATGTATCATTTCAAGTTTAGCTGCAGCAGTATTGGGACAACACTTCAGTACTACCTATATAAATTAGTATTTAATAGAAAAAATTATCTATAGTCTCTATTTCTCATGGTTTTTAAAATATGGCGAATATTCAATAAAAAAGCTATTGTTAGCATATTGGTCACAGTCAAGGTCACAAGGTCATTGACCTTGGTGTCATTTGAAAGGACTTAATAAGTGGAGTATGTATACCAAATATGAAGTATCTATCTCTCATTGGTTCAAAAGTTATCACTTATGGCGAAGCTTGAAGTTTACAAACAGACAGGAAAAAAACAATATGCGCCCCCAATCTATCAATCCAACCACATAAAAAAAATGTGTATATAAAAAATATCAATATGCCACTGTGAAAATGTCCAGCAACTCTGCATCATTTTTCAAATAACCTAATTAATTAGCTGCCCATCACATATTCCCCAATGCCAATTAATCAGTACAATGTGTAATATATAGCTTGTTTGTAATTTCCAACATATATATAGAATCATTATTTTCTTGCAGGTATTCTAATTTATGCAATAAATTAATTATACATGTTCATGCATTTAATTGATAACATGCATTCATCTTTTCCTGCAACAATGGTATGATATATATTAGACATACAAGTATAGTATACATGCATCACAAGCACTAGTTGAAATACATATAATTTTTCTTACTTTATCTCCATAGAATCATTCATCTAAAAAAGAATATGGTTTTGACTTACCAAGTTTGATATATATATATATATATATACCATGAAAACAGAGTTAGACATTCCTATAATTCTTTCAAAAGGCCATGCCATGGAAACTGCTGAAATTCTTTTTTTTCTGGCTATTCCACATTATTTAGTCTTACTAGTCATAATGTCTTATCCTACTGTACACAATTAACAACTCCAATTAACTTGATACCATTCAATAATGAAGCAAAACATGCTTGCCTTTGAATTCCCTCCATTTTATTTAAAAAGAGGAAGTACATGACTGAGCATGCTCACAAATGCCTAATGGGTAATCCTAGATCTTCTGGCGACATTCTGGCAATACTGCCAGAAAGATTTTTTCTGGCAGTATTGCCAGAATGTCACCAGAAGTTGTTGCCGCTAGCGGTGATATTTCACTAACCCAAAAAGCTTGTTTCTGGTGACAAAAATGTGTTGCTGCAATGTTGCCGCAATATAGCGGCAATATTGCTGCAATAATTTTACTTTGGTAAGGGTAGTTAAAAGAAAACTAGTTTCCAAGGTAAAGAAATTGGAAATTCGTTTTTTCCCTCCTGAGCCATGCAATAAACATACACATATTCCCGGAAAACTTTGCAACTTTCTTCCTCTATCTTCATTACTCATAGCATTTATTTCTTGCACCACAACTACCATCTAAAATGAAATGTAATAGCACAAAATTTTATCAATAATTGATATCCATTTAAATTTCATGTATCTGACATTGAAATATGAGATACATTTATTACTGGTAAATGTATATATTCTATAGGACGAACGTAACATTAA